GCCAGAGCTTGGTGTTTTAACAAGTTTATTTCAATGAAACATGTAAATGCTATTAAGGCTAGTTAATAAGCCATCTTGGCCAATAATTAATATAGATGAACGGTTATTATTATCGACTGAGCTAGTAAGTTATGAGTACTAATCAACACTACACTACAATAATACATGTGAGCATTATTCAGAAGAATGATAGAATACTGGGTTAACATAAGTAAAAATCGGTCGATAATGAAACAGTTAAAATGAGGAATAATAATAGGCCGTGTTTCATCACGCCAGGTTCACCAATGTAGATTTACGGTTTACTTATTTATTAGTACTGCTCTATTATTAGACCTAATCCTAAAACTGTAGATACGTCATGATGTAGCTGCCTAATCTATATGATCTTACGTGGAAGTCACATCATTATCTACACCAACTCACCGCATCGTAAAAATCGCCAGTATATGATAGATAACACACATAGGCTAGAGATAGAACAGTATATTTAATGTGAATAAAAGATCTTAAAAGTATATTTTGCTTATGAAAGCGATTAAACCATTAGACATTATATAGTTTGCAATAGATAGATACGAGGAAGTTCGTAAACCGTCAATTGACAAATAGAAATCGTTCTACGAATCCGTTTGCATGTGAGTGGTAGGTGGTCGTTCAGAATCGTGTGATTCCTAGTGAGACAACAAAAAAGTCCGGCATCAAACGGGCAGCCACGGACTTTAGTGATAGTTGAAGGGCAGCTGAAGCTTGTTACCCATCGTTCGACGGAGTTGTGGGCCACTATTTCAGCAGTAGTGTTGTTGATAAATACTAATTCTGGCCACCATGTGAAACGGCCTACACAAGTTAGAAGATAAGAGTATCTATCCGAATCCGGTAAAGGTCCTGCCAAATCCAGATGAACATGGTCGGAACGAGCAACGGGAGTTTTGAAAGAGCCTAAGGAATCACTGTTGTGTCCAATCTCCTTAGATTTCTGACAGCTTACACAGGAGTGTGTTCACTCTTTCGCGTCTTTATTCATATTGGGCCAAAAAAATCGCTCTGCTATGAGCTTGATGGTTGTTCGAACACCTGGATGAGAAAGTCTGTACAATGTATTGAAGAAGTTGCGTCATTAATGTTCCGGTACGACCGGACGATCCCTAACTGTAGATGTGTCGCACAGTAAAGCTTCCTTACATTTTCCTATGTGTTTAAACGCAATTTCACAGTTGTCAAAGATAACTTTAGCTGAAGATCAGTGTCTTCTTTTTGAAGCTTGACGAGTTTAAGAAGATCGATTCCTTGGAAACTGTTTAAGGACGTTAAACGAGACAAGACATCTGAGACTACATCGTTTGCTTCGGAAATGTGTTGTATATCTGTTCGAAACTGAAAAATGTAGTCCGACGCTCGAGACCAGAGAGAAGAGTATTTGTCTAAAGATGGACTTAAAGAGAAAGCAAGAGGTTTGTGATCGGTGAAAAGAATGGACTTTTCGTGCCTTAAGGTAAGCCTCGTGCCATTGATAGAAGAAACCAGAAAAGTAGTGAATAGGTCTTTATTTCGATCTCCGCGCAGTCACAGTGGAGCGTGGGATTATTTGTTCAGACAAACAAAGCCTCTCAACATTCAATATAAGATAATAGGAAATATAACGCCTATGCAAACTAAGGAAGTGAATGAATACTTGGCCTGTACTGTTTAGGCATATGCTTGGTTGTTTGAGGTCAACTCTTAGCCAACCAACCTATGCTGTTACAAATTCTCGGCCTTCAGCTGAGTGTTGAAAGTTCCGCACGGCATAATATAGGAGTTTCCTACCGAAAGTTCTATGTCTCTATTCGGCGTCTAGCAATCGTCTTGCGAAGATTGCCGAAGGCTGTCAGGTGTGGTTAACCTACTGTCGTAAGACTCCTCCGACTACCGAGTCGGATTCGTCTGATGCGAAACTAATTTGTGTTTTGTTGTCTGGGTTTGCATGCATAGTTACTCTTGCGATAAGTTCCTTAATTGTGGAGAATGCTTCTTTTGCATTATCATCCAAGTTGATGGGTTTCGCATTTCCACGAACTTCGAGGTTTCATAAGGGACAAGCAATTTTGTATGAAACTTACTAGCTCGTAAAACGTGCGTAGTTGCTTGATTGCGGTCGATTCCAGGTAATGAAGAATCGTCTTTTCAGAGGTTGGATGCTTTGAGCATCAATATTCTGTCCGAGAAAACCTAGAGAGACAGTGCCAACAATTCTGAAGCTTTACAGTAATTTCATGTTTTTGCAATCGTTTTAAAACAAATATCAAATGCTGGAGATGAGATTCTCTGTCCGAACTAGCAGTCATCTAAATGTGCGTATACGAATTTGAGAACCTGAAATACGTCATCGATGGATCGCATCAAGTTTTGTGCAGCATATCTTTAGCCGGAAAGCATGCGCGAAAATTTGTGGAGTCCGGTGGGAGTGGTGACAGCGGGCTTAGGTTCTGTGGTCATCGAAAATCGGCTATACGCCTTGATCTGAACAATTTTCGGAAAAATAGTTGTGTCTTTTAAGGTGGCTGTCATATCGTAAATGTGAGGCAACAAGTAACATAAGTGGTTTTCGTATTCAGTCGCCGATGATGACTAGTTTGATGCTTATCACTGTTATCCTTTGTAGGGACCATGTGTAAGGGAGATTTACAGTGGCAGTTCGATGGCCAAATACTTCCCAACTTCAGCTTTTAGGATGCTAGTCGGTGAGCTTTCGAGAATACATGTAGTCCTATAGTCGTGATGTGTTGTGCAACATTGTTGGTTGCAAACGGCAATGTCGGTCACGTTTGGTACAGTTCAGGGTACTTACCGAGTATATTTTCATTGTATGGATAGATCGTATACCTTACTGTGACTATGAATAATATACAACCGGAAAAAGTCACACAATCAGATGAACTAGTATTTTCGTATACTAACCTTTGTTTACGCGTGTCAATTAGTATATTACGATGTCGTGGCAGGTCTATACCAATGATTGGCATAGGAACATCTGCAACAACAGGAATCCAGTGGATGAATTTGCGTAAATCGAGATAAACATATCACTTACCATATGTGGCGATCAGTTTCCAATTTAACACCTGTAAGTTGGAAATCGGTTCGTGCAGTCGGTACTTAGATGTTGCTGGAGGTAGCGAACTTTCATCATCACATCAGTGATGTATAACAGACGGCTGCCTTTAACGTGTGATGATGAGGGAGTTTCGTGAAATCTTTCACGTGTAGTATGGTTTGGGGCTTGAGAAAGTGTATGGTTTCCTGCGATTTCTAGACGACTTACCACACTTATTGTTGTACTAGTGTAGTGAAGGAGATCACAGATAAGGACAATCGAATGTATTTGACACAAAATTACAGAGCATCTCAATAAAATGTGAGAACTATATATTAAACCGTTAATTTGCAAAATGTCCACCAATTGTCTCAAAATGTCTCAGACTTCATTGTCCTTACATTTTCATACGAATTGCATTCTATCCCCGCTCTTGCTTCCTTGATCTTCCCTCATCTTCTGCTTCCAGACATTACATTCCCGACCCTCATAATATACTGCTCATATCAATATAAGTAGCACGCACCACACTAGCACCAATAAGATTCATCTACCTCTCGTGGTTTAGCGACAGATACTTTTCGTGACGACCATACTCGAATTTGAGTATTTGGATAACCAATCAGTGTGACACATGTTCGTAAATAATTTTGTGTTGAGGCTCTTTTTTAACAGAATAAACCTCGGTGTTGATGTTCTGGTGATCTTCGGATTTCGGTCGCTAGATAAATTCATTTCGTCTACAGCACTTTTTCGGAATGTGACAAGCACTTCCTGAACCTTTTGGGGCCTAGACAAGAGAAGGTGTCTAAACAGTCCCTTGTCGAAAGTCCGTTGATCAGTGACCTGATTCATCCGTAACAAAATTTCTGTTACTGAGCAATGTTGCAGATCGATGTTATGGAGTTTTACTAACCTTTGTCGATGGGTTTGGAAATGTATGGAAGTGGATGCATAGCAGAGAGGAAAACCTTGATTCGAAGTGTTTGCATGTAGTAAAGCAACTGTACATAGTACCGTTCAGGAATTAAGTGTAATATCCTTCGCGCATATAAAACCCTAGCTGGTATACTTTCCGCATAATAACTAACTTTTGCCCCGCTCTTAATATGCAGTTATGTGCATCTCCCTTCCATTTAATTGAAGCTGATATTATTATTACACTTTTGTCTCTTATTCTAATACCAACGGTGTATTCGTCAGTGTATAACGCCTTGAAATTGTTCTACATAGGCTTAATACAAAAGCTGAGGTCATAGTAATTTTAACATACTTGAGCTTATTGCCTACTGGACATATCTAGAAAACGTATTCTTAAAATAGCTATAAGTGAGCAGGGACATTGAGGCATTTAGAAGTGTCATAGGATCTTCGCCACATGACCCCTCAAGTTTAGCATAAAATAACTAGATAATTAGTACGCCACTTCTACGACATAACGACCCAGCATAAGCTACTTGAAGGTCTTATAGACTAGGGAGTCCAAAGTACAAGGTTAGGTCGATGATTGTAGTAGCATAGATAGGTGTAATAATACTTCATTCTTACAGACTAAACACTACTTGCTACAACACACAATAGGTACGAACAAAGTATCCCCGATAATTTCTACTGCTACTCATGCTATTACTATCTCTTTACCTGGAGGTTGTCATGATCCCGCCGTGGCAACGTGGACTGATACACACACACCCAACGTTCTGCGCCGCGTATGAATGACAGGTTGAGTGAGCTTTAGCGCAACCAACTAAATTTTGCCTAGGACAAAAATCAAATTCAATGTTACTTCATACTTATGATGTTTCCCTACATCTCTAGTTAGAAAACCATTCCAAAAATATAAAATATATTTTAACACAAAAGCGTTATCTAAAAATCAAAATAATTCTTGCAAAGAAGTAATCATGGATCAAAATCAAGTTTTTCAGCTTGAAGCGTCGAATTTAACATTAATTCGGTGCCAACAGTTTGACAATAAGCCGCGAATGTTTAAAGTAGCTGAGCAGAATTCCGGTTGAGTGTTGTAAGAGCTATCAACAGCCGAACACACAAACTCTGCTTCACGAATATCTTCTGCAAAAAATAATTACAAAAAACAATCTACTTTAGATTACGAGACACCAGTGATTAAAATGACGGATAATTTTTAATTGAGCAATGCGAACAGTATGCATGAAATAAATTATTTTTAAATCGCTAGATTCCAAAATCATACAGCATCACACCATTATACTGGTTCCGGGAACGTGATAGTATATAACCAAACCGTTAAACGCCGGCAGCTTCTGGTTTTAGTCCCAAATGTGGAAACTCTAGTGCAGAAGTATGAGTAACAGATTCTAGAATAATCGGATATGAATCTTCGAATTCACTTGAATTGCCTCAACCATAGTCAACGTTTACTTACCATCGCCACCAATTCCGCATTATCAAACACTAAACGTAGTCAAGACTGTAGGAAGAACTACGAAAAATATCTCCGCTCACTTAATATCAGAGTCTGTAAAATACATGTCTGGCAAAGAATGACTTAAGTCCTTGTACATCAAAAAGTACGACACAATACAAACTCAATCTCAGCTTAGTGCAACCCAGTATATTTAGACATTTTGTGCATTACACCGAGAGCTGCACCGGAAATGTTAGGGACTATGATAAAAGGCGGTTATACAAGTTCAAGTGACTGAAGAGATCTTAAGCTTATGAGGAAATGTCTTGATAGTGGGCGTTCAAACCTAAGTTCCAAAGTACACAAATATTATAGTGGTTATCGATAATTATGTACACAAATTCCCACCTAAAACTGTCCGAACCACAGTCACAGCTCTCTGAACTATGAAAGTAAGACAGACAAAAACATCTGTAAGCATTATTAAACACTTGCTTGGAATAGGAACCTCCACAGTCCATATTGTCCACGCCCATTGTTTCACGCTCCGGTTTTTTAAAGAATGAGGATTGTCTATGTCTGTTACATCACCTTCTGCTGCAGGAGGACTGGCTGGTGACAGTTTCGCTTGATACCAAGACCTGCCACCATCCGAAGAAATGCGAACGGAAATGATCCCACGCCCACCTCCGCTGAATGCGTAGCTAAAGTGTAAGGTCGTTTAACATGTATAAGTAAAAAACATTATATGAAACTACATATGAATCGTTAGAATGAGATTATCCTCAATATAATTTTCCCTTATTTTCGGTTATAAAATGTAATTAATATGAGAAACCATAGTATTGAAGAATGATGGAAATCAGTTACTTTATAAGCTTGTATTTTGCTGAGGATAATGTAGAGAAAAACAGGGAACTCATTATAATCTCTAAAAATCGACGTTATTACATCGCTTAAAAATATTTTTGCCGAATTATTATGTCCTTTTCGAACGTTAAGTGATTTATATCACCAAATCATCCTCAGTTCTTACAGCTCATTCTATAAACAAAATTACAACTGCACAATAAGTATCTTAGAAAACGCGCGTCCTGGATTCCACTGATAGCCACTATCCATCTTTGCTTATAATGCTTGTAAATTAAGGCAATATCGAGGCAATACGCACAGGATGCACATATGTCAATAAGAGACTGATCGATTTCAGTCCTAAAACATCAATGGGAAGATTCAAGTAAAACAATATCAAGTGAATTAATCATCACTTTAGTTTATATCAGTAGCACGTACCACAGTGGTAAGCGTCATCATAAAGTGCGACGAACCATTTCATTTGTGTAGTCCTCATAAGATAAAAATCCCGCTTTCTGAGGTTTCAGATTCTAGATTTTTAAATACAGTGGTCATCTATGACCTTATATTGATTAGTTAATCAACAAGTGATTGATTTACTAAACCTAATAACAGTAATTTGAACTACAAAATAAATCAGTCAAGAAACATGAGATAATTTTTGTAAAGACCATTGAACACCTACCCTGACAAAATTACACTCCCAGTGTTTTTGAGGGTTTGGCCATCAGAAGGTTTACAAATAACTGACTGAACAGGATAATCCAAAATAGCCGGTAAGCCCTTCAGGTCTGGGACTTTACCATCACCCATCGGTAGAACATATTTATAATCACCCTGCTGCCAAAAGCTTTCACTTTCGTCCGTTGATAATGTAATCTAAAGAGTCAATATGTTCTACACAATAACCTCTCAAGGTAAAATAATAATATGATAAGATTCTCAGAAACTGGTACGGAGTAGTCTGTTCATTACACAGAAGTCGTTATTGGTAAACTAAACTGGCAATACAAACAATGTATGTAGAGTTCCGTATTCAAACAACCTGTAAACATCAATATTAAGCAGAGATGAATAGTGGCTAACAGTGGGATCCATAACACATGTTTGATTCCATTTAAAACTCTTAAGCTGGGTGTACCAGGATACCGGAGTTAATGTCCACTCAGGAACTCTTATCCAGTATCTTTCACTACAAACATCGCATTATCCATGAGCGAAGATTAAATCGCGAGTAACTTCTGAGACATATTAATCAACTAATGCTATCTATATATTCTTATACTATAACTATTCAATAATTAGATTATGTATATTCATATTCCTCTTATTATAAGCTTTATTTTGACCTATGATTTATTATTGTACGACTTACTGTTCTTAAGCTATGTTCAGTTTATTAACTACTGCCTCCCATGTTCACAGCCACTTTTTGGCTTTATTGTGTACAAATGTTATTTCCTATTTTATGGTGCGTTGCGGTCTGTTTGGTTGATATATAAACCCAGTATGTCCGAAATAAATGATTCGATTCGCATAGTGGAAGCTGGTATTGGTGTTTTGGACTCAAGTGGACGAGCTAGGCGGACATAGGACCAATAAGGACGCTAGGCTGCTCATACCGGTTGAACGTCATTGGTTTTGGTACAGTGCTAAGATTGTATAACTCGTATTTTGATTGGTGGATAAATCACGTGATAAAAAGCCGGACATAAAGTCACAACAATCCACTTCGAAACTGAGTTCAGATATAACCCGGCTTGTACAATGGGATGTCCAGATAGACTGATTAATCGCAGATCTGAACATTAATGGGATGATCCAAACAACCTATATATATAATTTAGAATCGAAATTCCCCTCATTGCACAAGCCAGTTTATATATAAACTCAGTAAAAAAGTGGGTAGAGCGATTTTCTTCGTAGCGAAAGGTACTGGTTACGAGATCCTGAGTGAACATCAGCTCTAGGATGCAGGTAAATCCGGCTGAAGAATCCCAAAACGGACGGATTTCAACACTGGCCACTATCCATCTTTCCCTAAAATCCCAGTGACTAACTGGCTATATCAAGGTAATCCACACAGGATACATAAATGTTAAGAGAGACTGATTATCAATTGAAGTCCTTAACATCAATGGGAAGATACAAACAGACAATAAATATCAATTAAAATTATAGACATGAAATACAAATCCAGCTCTCAATTATAATTGATATTCAAAATTCAAAAACACAACTAAAGCTTGAGACCACATCCAACAGTACGAGAAAAATGTTTAACGTTACTCATACATTGGGTAGTCTAAAGACAAAAAATCTAATCAAAACACTAAGAAAAGTCCTTACAAGTAAACAATTGCTAATAGTAGTCTTAATTACTGTATTGTTATAGCTTCAACCGATTTAACAGTCATCAAAACATTAAAATTAAAATAGACATAATCCAATAAGGACGATGTCATTTCAACAAATATTCATAAATATGATCTATTAATCGTAAAGACATATATGAAGTGATAACGCTTATGTAAGTTATATATATACCAGATAGAAAACAAACTGATGGATAAGATAAAAGTAAGTTTCAAGATTACTACTTACGCTTCAATAACACAGTAACGAGTTACTAAGATTTTAAGTCGAAACAACTGGCTCGAAGAAGATTTAGATGAAGAATTTATGCACAATTGAAGTTATAACAAATCACTATTTCAAACCTAACTTTTGTGCATAAAGGAGTCATGTTCAATCCCTTATTCTTTTGTTACTTTAGCACCCCTCCTAACTTTGCAAATCATAATTGATAATCATTACCTTATTCTTTGTCTCTCTCTCTGCAGTTTTCCTTTGCAATCAATTTATGAATTATTATTTCTTATTGTCTTTGTAATTATTGTATCACTTAATTCTTAAATAATTTTTGATCGCGATACTAATTTTACTCAATAGTTGAAGACTCTCGATAATTTTAATTACTTTAAAGTGATACCCTTCTATTCATAGGCTATTATAGTCAATACTTGAAATTTGTTAATAATCTCTGATTTCTTTATTAACTAATGCAAAAACACTTCATTATTGTCGAGTTTTACATTCAAACATGGATACGTTTGACTGTTTTTGATAAGTTTGTTTGATGACGTAACATTCCTCTAACGTATCATAACTATCAAATGTAAAAAGTTAACAATAAACATGATTATACAGCTCAGGAAATTTTTTTCGTTGAAACGTCTTCAGAACTGTACAAGAAAACATGAATTAACAAGAAATATAGCAGCTTCTACATTTAATCTACACTGAGAATTTTTGATCTTTTAAGAGTTATTAGACCAAGAATAGTGAGTTGTTAGACGACAATAATAAGGGTATATAACATGCAAGTAGGATCGTATCTATAGTATTTAAAAAGAAGACAGATATATTAGTGGCAGTAAGAATGTTGAAAACAGCATGAAAAAGCAAACGGAAATCCCAACGTACATAAAAATTAATAAGTTGTGCACAAAAGTAATAATGATAAATAAAAATGGTATATTTTCAGTATTTCGATGAGCGGAAAAACTGAATTTCTGACGTTACGTGCATTAGTATCGAAATAAGTGTTGTACGAAATTCAAGGCCAGTAGAAAAAAATAAACATTTCGCTGCAGTTAATTCCCTCAATTTAATATCTATGTTTCAAAAGTGACAATACAACATACATTAGTTACAAAACCAGGAAACAATGGACAGCTTTATGAACATAAAGTATGATCCCCTCAACAATAGTGCACGCCAATCACTCCATACACAATGATACACTAGATCTCCAATTCTCATGACAATTTTCGAACTAATATTAGGGTTTGATAGAAAATTGACTTTAAGTTTAACGAATCTCTACAAACTATTTAGCTAAATAATAGTCGTTTATTCATTAGAGGTCACTTTCAAGATGGAGTCAATCAATTAGAAAGTGGGCGAGTTACCCACTGGTGACACTGGATATGTATCATACTAATCATGAGTAAATGAAGGATCACAATGTAGCCTATTTAGTTTGAATAATATAATGCTTGCTACAAGTAAAGGTCTAAGGTTCAATAGTACTTAAGGTCATCATAGGACACAGCTGAGAAGTTCAGAAATTTACAGTTCTTTCGTTTTCATTGACCTTCCAAACTATATCAGCTTGTAAAAATAAATTATCTCGTGATAATTGCTAAGAAAAGTGTAAACCTTCATAAAATGGTTAATTAACAGTAGTTACATAAGAATAAATACGTTAAAATGTATGTAGTTTACACAACCACGGCCATCTCTTGAGTTAAGTACTCAATTGATGATTGGGTTATAACATTGAAAAAGACAGTTAAAGTAGTTGCAGTAACTTCTTTTGAGTGCAAAGTTTATTTACGAAGAACTCAGGTAGCCTAAATTGTGTAAGACACAGTGAGTGGTTTGCGATAGATAAGTGCGAACACTACTTAGGTCAAACAGATTGCTAGTTCATAATAATAATCGATATTTATTCACTATTCCTATTTTTCTTAAACTACCCTTGATGTAAAATAATCAGAAATCTAATGAACTTCTCGCTTGATTGTATGTGTGGCAGTGACAGCTCTTGAATAAATGGAACAAGAATGAGAGAGGATACAAACTTTTTTCGTTTAGTTGAGAAGTACTTACTTGACCTAGCCATTTAACTTGACGAGCTCCAATAGAACCAGGTATGATAATTCTCAATGGGAAACCATGATCCCGAGTTAATGGCTTATTGTTCATTTTAAAAGCAATGATTACCTCCCTCTGAGGATCTAAAGCTAAATCAATTGGTAGCGATGAACCAAAAGCTCCACCAGTAGGATCTATATCTAGTCCTATATTAGAAAAACGTTGGGAAATGTTAGGAAATATGAAGCCAATGTTATTATTTTTGAAAAAATCAACTAGGAATATTTCCTCAATGTTACTCATAGCAACTACTGATTAAATTAGTGAGTGTTAAAACGATAAAATAGGGCAATGATTTTCCTGTATATGTAGTAGCATGCTAAAATAGAATAGATAAAGGTTATTGGCTATAGACAAGTACACCTTATGGAGCTTAATAGTGTTAGACACGAGTCATAGTACCAATCAAATACAGAGCTACTCAATTTCCTCGTTCATTTACAGAAACCTACAAAAAGCAAAGAAAGAAGTCAAAAGAACAAAAAATGTTCATCTAAATTCCTTTTTACTTTTAGATCATTACAACAATATTTCGCTTTTTTATACTTTGTAAATTAAGTTGTTCCACATGATAATTCTATTAAGAACCGTATCTCAATAATTTGTAAGTTGAATATTATTTATAGAGAAAATTCAAACCCTGGAAACCGTATAAAAATGCTCTCAATATATAAAGCTAATTTTAGATGGTGGTTGGAGGTAGTCAACAGGAAACCCTGGACCCGGGTTTCCTGTTGACTACCTCCAACCACCATCTAAAATCTCAATACATAGTGCCCGCAGTGTCGGGTCACCTAGACTGGTGGCCACATTGCAACATGATCGATAGCATTCGATCTGCACTAATAAGGACTAGACAAGCATGACATTGATCACCACCCAGTGATCAATCAATTGTGATATAAAGCTAACTTTAACATGATTAGTATTTAGACCATTTAAATTCTTACTAGACGATTTGGTTTACTGAACCCCCCACACACACAAAAAAAAACCTTCATTCCTAACTATATTCGATAGATGGTACTGGAATTTTTTGCCCCCAAATGCCCTGGTAAGGCCGAGAGTAAGGAGAGTCCGCCCTCCCTCTCGAAACGCTCTTGCACGACCACGCATATACAGCCTTTGCCAGGGCAAGTTCTACTCATTGCCTTCTCGTGGCGGGGGTTTTGTTAACGAAATTGAGAGGACGAAAAGCGAATGTCTGGCGCTTTAACCGGGTTGGTGGACATCAAGAGTCCACCTAAGGGAGTTGGAAAACCCTGATTCCAAACCAATGGTGCACATGAGCTTCAGTATCCTGAGGGAAAAAATGGCGTATGAACCAATTGTTGGTCACCGTCTACCATGGGACTGCATCTCCTTACATCGCTCCACTGCCTTGTGGGTCAGACCTTATTGGATATACCGTACTGGAATTCATATTGAAATGAAACGATAATAGTTCAAACAATTATAAAAACCATAAGAATTTATAATTTCATGTTTAATTTAATGAATTTCTCAGTTAAAAATTTCAAAAGTATTTTTTTAAATAAAAAAAAATGGAAAGCAACTAAAATAATGCAGACGTAAATGTCAAGTATTTAGATAATTAACTCTATTTAAAACTAGTTTATTAATGCTACTACGATTTAGAAGAAGAAGAAGAAGAAGAGAAGAAAAAGAAGAAGAAGAAGAAGGAGAAGGAAAAAACCATTTTTACAATTATACACTTACATAAGTGTTCTTATTGATTTATATAATTTATTATTATAGATTTTAATTAAGTTCATTTATGAAGAACTCAGTATTTATTAAATAAATATTAATGATATTTAATATTATAATTATTAAAAAGGAACAAGTTGAATCAGTTGAAAAAAAAAGCAAAATACTTAATGAAAACATTTAGTAGATTATTCAGTCAGTCAGTTACAACGTAGGACCAGGCATATACGTGCATTGGTTTGAGTTGCCATACTTCATTAGCATAACAAGATGAACAGCGGATTCATAGGAGTGGTTAAGTTAATGGTGGTAATATATAAAAGAAAGATTATCAATAATCAATCATTCGATAAACTCAATACAGTGAAAAAATGAACTTTATATTAATTAATTGAAATATAAAAGATCAATCACAATTTTGATGTTGATTGTAATTACATTTTATTATCTTATTAATATATATAGTTATAAATAAAAGTGGAGTTCAACCAGGTCTGTTGTGAGATAGTAATTCACTGATGATAATAGTGGATGTGTCGCTAAATTTCGTGGATTAGTTGAAGTTAGACATTAACGCCGTTGGGTTCCAGCTTATTGGTCTAGTGGTTAAGCGCTCGCGCGCGATACTAATAGGTTCTGGGTTCGAAACTAGCAAGGCGGGATTGTGGATTTGCACTGTTGAAGAGTCCTACAATAAGACTAAACGGCCGTCCAGCGCTTCCAGGGTTTTTATGGTGATCTAGCTTCAACTGACTTATAATCTCAATCATTAAAAGGTAAAATAGTAAATGAATTATGATGAAATTCATTAGCCCCACGGCAATAACAGAAATACAAATCTTTCAATCAATAACGAAATACCTATTGTTCTTCCTCCAATATTCATAAAGCTCAGCATGAACTAATATGAATGACAAAGATCACTAAATGTTAGTGCTTACATGATTAGTTTCTGGTAAATTTGCATCTAGGACCTATCATCTTAACATTCACTAGCACAGTCTTGTTTTATAATTTTTTATTAGTAACTATTAAAAGAATCTTGTATTTGTCGTCTAATGGAATGAATATGATATAGTTTAAAAACTGCTGTATTTCCTGGCTCAAATGATTTCACTGAAAATCTGTAGAAGATTATCGATTAAGACATTATACTCTCCTTTCTCTTAACCAATTTTTTTATTGAACTTAACGATATTTTATTAAAGCTTCTGAAATCTTTGTACTCTATCTTCAGTGGAAACTAATCTGTCTTTTGGATCTAGTTCTCGGATTCTTAGTGAAACAGTTTACGATGTACTTTAACAGTTGAACTGCATAATTAATCGCTCTCAAAACTTTCAAACTAACAAATATAGGAAACATCTGTAGCGAGAAGTTGAAGAAAGTCTAAATCTCCTTGTATTCTGGGTATAATTAACCTCAGGAATATTCAATAGATAAGTATTCATGCACAGCTTACCATCAAATCGAATGTGACGTACACCTGCATTTTTAAGCAATTCGTAGAGTGCTTGATAGTTTGTTCTTTGGTTTGAAGGTAACAGATGATAAGCCAATAAGTCCACTAACAGTACACCAGTCCACTCTGCCGTAGAAATCGCTCCTTCAGACCACGATAAGCCTTTCACATAAGGACTATGTTCTTCTAATTCAGCCTTTTTTACATCATACTTGATCATATCTGATCGTCGGTTCCCAGCGCAAACAATGGTGGATACTAAACTTTTACGAGGATAATTCTTTAGAATATCTTCTAATTTTAAAGACAAATTCAGTGATTGATTGTTAACTTTTATAACCGAAGAAGCTATTTCAAGTCTATATGTCCTAAAGGAGAAAAATATTTCTAAGGATATATAACTTGAAAGATAAATGTTGAACTAAATTTAATAAAGAACATTTCAGTTAAAAAATGAAGAAATCAGTTTGAAAGGACCAATCAGATAATGTAACATCATCTTGACCATTACTTAACTTTAATATACTTTTTATTTTACCGGTTTTCAACTGATTATTCTTTAGCTAAAAGTGTTAACTTGAACTGATTCATTTTATAAAGAAATATATTAAGCTAGTTCCTTCCATTGATTTTAATGTTGACAATTACAATAAGTGACAAGATGACTGCATTTAATCAGTTATTAACCTTAATAAACAGATACAGATTATTTTTCTTTGCAGCAGCTACTAACCTAAAAAAGATAGATCTCGGATGAGACAACAGGTACAAAATATTTACAAGAATAGGTTTTCCATAGAAAGACACTTAATCAGACTGAGTGTTTTGTAATAACTGAAAGTTAATAAACTGAGCTGATTGATGATAGTGTACTAAGATTATTCAGTGAAATAAGGAATACCTGTACAATCAAAATGTGTGATATAAATAAAGAAAAGTTTCCATCCATATGACACAACACACATTTTGCAAATCAATCTTTTGCCTACAAACTTAAAGTAGTTATATTTATATATCTTAAGATATCAGAAAATCCCATAGTTTTATCCTCACTTTACGCTTGGTTGGGTTAATCAAACATTAGTGAACGAATAAGAACAATGCCCTCAGTTTAGGAAGAAGTGCGCTTTAGCAACTATGAAGGTAAAGAAGTAAAAAGTGATTAATTTCAGATGCCAACGATAAACGTCTGACATCAAAGTAAGGACGTAGCCATTTAAAGTTGGAATTTACTTATACTATCACAAAACACAACCATCATCATGTTATGAGGCCTTAATGGTAAATTTAAATAACTTCGTGAACATACGTCAACTACTTTATCAATTATGCAAACAGAGATTGAAATTTTCAGCAAATTATTAACATATGAAATCAGCTTTTCATTAACAATAACAACACGCTCAATCTAGCATTTGTAAGAAATTGCAAAAGCAGAAATGAACCATCAGCAATTAATGCTGTTATTATAAACTATCTCCGGTCAGTCTTAATTTTTTCATCTCATTTTGTCATCAGGATATAAGTGCTCATATTTCTTAAGGAAATTACTTCGAAATGTCTACGTAATCTGTAAATCCAAGTTAATTCCAAGTGTTTTTATAATGCTTACGTGACAAAATTAAACTGGCTCTCGGTAAATTTATGTCACTTTTTAGATTGACATCCGTAAGATTCTTCTTATCATTCTTTTACTACATTTCATTTGCAACTTGAAGGTGAACATTAGTTGAATTCTTGTAACGATCGTCACTGTTTTTCCTTATCCTACACGCAAACTGTTATTTATTTGAATAACATAAACAGTATATCACTGTGTCACATGACACACGCATTTAGGTAGACCTGGTTGATATATTTTGGTAATTACTTTTTTGTTGTTCCGTGCTCTCTGTTTTCATTTTAATTTCTCTAGTTGTAGATAATTATCATTATTTCGATCTGGCACACGAATTGACCTTAATTACACCGTTCATAAATCAACAGGTTGTCCATTTAAGAAATATTAAAAATCCCCGGCTGATGCATTGGATCGCTGTAATATATGTACTACTTAAACAACTACTGAACTAGTATACTTAAAACTTTCTTTTATCACATGTTTGTTCTGCACGTCTAACGTTATTATTTATATCAAATTGATCATGCCTGTAAACTGGCGTGAATTGTTTAATTATTATTTTTCAGAATATAAAAAAAAATTATTATCTAATGAGCATTAAGATAAATTAATAATAGTCTTGAAATGAAATACATACATGCGATGTATTCTTAGTCTTCAACGGTTTAAAAGCATTCATCTGACACCATATTTAAGGTCCTCGCATTTACACTTGTGTTCATAATAAAATCATCTATATGGCGATGCTGAAACTTCGTTAGTATTTAACGCGTTCTTGCACATCATTATTTTTTATTAGATCGATTCAATCTTTTAGTGTCTGTTGAGAGAGTTTACATAGAATACTTTGAGATTTTTATTTAAAACTGCTTAATCAATCAGTATATTAAGAGAGATGAAAATTTTTCCAAAATTCTCATTCAGAAGGAAACCTTGAAGTAACTACACTTGTGGTAAATTTGAATAAAAATAGAATGTGGTGATATATGTTTTGATTTCTTCGAATCATATATTCTGACCATGAATTCTGAGTCCATTCAATGGAAGTAGTAATTTGTAACTGTTTATTTCGTTGTATTTCGATAAGTGAATGACAAGACGAAGTTTATTAAAATTATGTGATACATTTGCGCAATACATTTTGAACAATCTGATCACTTGTTAAGACATTTCTATATGAAAATTAAAATGTCAACTAGACAGGTTAAAGGTAAGACATAGCAAAGAATAAATAAAGCAAGCAAAAACAATGTGATAACCACTCTGGATAATAAATCAGTATTAACATTGTTGCTACCTTGACGTGGTAGTCAGGCTTGCAGATCGTGATGAAGCAACCGAGCTATATTGGCTGGGACAACCGTTTTTCAAGGTCCTATCATGTCAGACAGGTCGGTTGAAGAGCGCTAAGACTAAAAGCAACAATCCCAAGGTCCGAAGGAGAAGTCATACTGCTGACTGCACAGAGGTGTGACAGCAGTAAGGTGTTTCCTTCAGACAACCAGTATGACAGCGATGCTGCCTTCCCACAAGGAGGGGTGGGGTTAGAAAAGATCGCCTTATCGCACAGATATCCGTCTCCGGCGGTAAAATCTGAACAAGTACGGAGCTAACATGAAAATTACCCATAAAAAGGTCGTGTGTGACCGACCTCAAGCAGTTGTCCCTTGGGCACTGCGGTCACGCTCTCAGGTCACTAAGACCACCTCTAACCCAACTTCCTTTTCAGGTACCTCTAGAACAACCCTTCCACGGTGTGGGCAACCGGGAAGTGATAACTGCCCTCATACCTCTAACAACACTCAAGACCACTGTATTCATAATCAACCTCCGTCTTCACTTCCTATTATTCCTCCTACATCGACTTTCAACTCTAAAATTCCTCTTTCGGCTTCCTCCTTAAGTGTCACCATGTCCAACGATTCTAGTGCGCTAAACACTGTCCCAGGCCTACTGGAACCTCGCTCCAAACTACACATTGGAGCCTTCAACGTAAGCATTCTATATCAAACCGGTCAACAGGCCTCCTGGGCTGAAACCCTAGAATCTCGTACGATTGATGTAAGCTGTCTCCAAAACACACACACAGGATCCTAGTGTGATCATTCACTTGACCTCACCTCCGCAACACAGAGAGCCAACGAGATACACCCTTCGTGTATCTGACGACCCAATGACTGGTCCTCGTGGACTGGCAGGAGTAGGCATAGCACTAAGCATGAGGGCGGAACAAGCACTGTTAGAGTGGATCCCCGTTAACAGTCGTTTATGTGCTGTTCTGCTGAACGGCTCTGTAACAACTCGGAAGGATAGGGACACACGTCGTTGCCTTTTTGTCGATTCTGCCTACGATCACACTGACTGCAGCTCGGATGAAGCGGAAGATGAATTTTACAGAAAGCTATCTGAACTTCATCAGAAAGCTAAACGTTCAGACATAGTACTCGTAGCAGGTGACTTTAATGCTCAGATAGTCAGTTTAAACCAAACAGAAAGACATTTAGGCGGGTATTTTAGTATTCCGGCACAACGAACAGATAATGGTGATCGTCTGCTGCAACTGTGCTCAGACAATCGTTTATTGTTAGCAAACAAATTTTAGGCATAAGGAGAGACATCGTCTAACATGGCGACCCCCTACACCAAACCAACGATGGACTCAAATATACCATATTGCCATCAGTCATCGTTGGAGAGGTTCGGTAGAAGATTGCCGCTCATTCTGGAGTACCTGCTTGAACTCCGACCATGCCCTAATACGGGCACACATCTGCTGTGGAAACAGCAGTGACATCTGTTAGTGATTTAAGCCAAGAGGTTACAAAAAATCAATGGATTTCTTCAATGTATATTGCACTGATAGATTCTCGCAAGCTCATCCCATCAGGCTCTGAACACGATGAAGAGCGAAAACAAATCAGATCCAGGTTAAGCAAAAGTCTAAGAAACGACCGTGAGCAGTGATGGGCAACGAAAGCAAAAGAAATGGAAAAGGCGGCGGCTATAGGGAACACAAGATAGCTCTACAGACTAATAAAAGAAACTAGAATTAAGAAGTCAAATGTGAGACAATCTCGGAAAAAGACTACAACAACTTTAGCCCAGACGTTTAGAACGATGGGTGGAACACTTTGAGGAGCAGTTCATCTGGCATTCAGCTACTCTACAACTACTCACCATTCCAAAACAGCCTGAACAGGACATTGAAGTAGGTCCCCCGACTCTAATTGAAGTTAGAAAAGCTATAGCTAATCTGAATTGACGAAGAGCAACTGTCCAGATGGTTTGGCTCTAGATATCTTTAAGTATGATGGTCTTGTTTTAGCGATTAGGTTGACTAATTTTTTAGCTAAAATCTGGGAGTTGGACGTAATCCCATCTAACTGATCACAATCACTAATTGTTTCAATATATAAGAAAGGGTCAAAATCATCCTGTGACAACCATAGAGGGATTAGTTTGACTAATATAACATCTAAAATACTAGCCTCAATAATTATCGATCGCCTAAGACACGTGGACTGCAAATACGAGGAAATCAATCTGGCTTCAGACCTGGTCGTGGCTGCGTCGACCACATATTCACCATTCGTCAGGTTCTAGAACACAGGCATGCGTATCGGCGTCCGACAATGGTGGTCTTTCTTGACTTGAAAGCAGCATTCAACTCTGTAGACCGAGAGGTTTTGTGCCAGTGTCTGTCATCGAAAAGCGTACCTCAGAAGTACATAAACCTTGTGAAGGCTCTTTACTCGAACACTACTAGTCGAGTCAGAGCTTATGGCGAACTGTCATCTGATTTTACAACCTCAAATGATGTCAGTCTAGGCTGTCCACTATCTCCATTTTTGTTCAAATTCATCATAGATATACTGATGGAAACAACGTTCTCATCGACTGAACTTTCGAGCACTGACCTCCTTCCAGGAGGTCTACCTATCGACGTAAAATACGCAGATGATATGATCCTGTTTGGTGAAGACTCTGATAAAATGCAGAGTGTTTTAGTAGTACTGAGCAACAATGCCAGAATGTTTGGAATGCGCTTCTCTCCCTCTAAATGCAAGTTGTTGCTTCAGGACTGGTCTACGTCAACACCTGAACTAAGGATAGTAGGGAGTGAAGTAGTCGAACGGGTTGACAACTTCACTTATCTTGGGAGTCTGATCAGCCCTAATGGGTTGGTGTTTGACGAAATCTCAGCACGGATTCGAAAAGCTCATTTGGCTTTTGCCAACTTATGTCACCTATGGCGAAGGCGAGATATCCGTCTATCAATAAAAGGACGAGTATATTGCGCGGTAGTTCTTTCTGATCTACTTTACGGCTGCGAAACGTGGCCATTAGGAGTAGAGGATATTCTTAAGCTACTAGTATTTGACCACAGATGTCTTAAAAATATTGCTCGCATCTGCTGGGATCACCGGGTAAGTAATAGTGAGGTTAGACACAGGGGATTAGGGAATGATGGTAAATCAGTTGATGAGGTTGTGAATCTTCATCGACTGAGATGGTTGGGCCATGTGTTACGTATGCCTGAACACCGATTACCACGACGTGCAATGCTATCCGGTGTTCGGGATGGTTGGAAGAAAGTTAGGGGCGGCCAAACCAAAACGTAGCATCAGTGCTTGGAGTCACTAACTTCTAGTCTGAGCCATGTTGGTAGATGCAGACTACTTGGTTGGGGTCCGCGTGACTATCGTAACCAATGGTTGGAGACTCTTGGTGGCATGGCTCAGAATCTATCACAATGGCGTCGGTGTATACACTCCCTGTCTTCCCTTAAACTAAGAGATTAAAATCACTTCATACCTTTCTTTCTACGAACTTATTCTTTCTTCCTGTACTATGTTCTTATATGAAATCTTTCTTTTATATGTTACGACTATTAACTTAACCACTCCTATGAATCAGGTGTTCATCTTGCTGTGCTAATGCGGTATAGTAAATCGGACCGATGCATATATGTGCCTGGTCCTACGTTGTAGCTGACTGACTGCCTGACGTCCTTGAAGGATTTTGTACAACACTAAAAATGCTGACTTGTTTTCAACCTTATGACCAGTCTCAATCAGATGTTTCGCAATAGAGGATGATCCTGTGAACTTATTTGACCATTAGAATTCATTTGTTTCTGTAGCCATTTTGGTATATGTTCACCTGCACTTAATTGCAAATCACGATTACTCCTCCGTATATATGTGTTTCCGCACATACGTGTAAATTGATAGACACACTAAGATGTGACACAGTCGCTTGCGTAATATTCGAGCTTTTGGTGAAACAGACTTTATCTTTTTAATAATGACAAGTTGGGCTGCATAAAATGTCCGGTTGATGGCTAATTTAAGTCTCAGTTTCAACATGAGACTATTTGTGTCGCTTCTAAATGGTAACATAATGTAAACACGCTTCTTGGGTGCCAGAAGCGTCATAGGTCTAATCGTATTGACACCCCTCCAGCGGTTTATGAACTTCAATGAATAACAATTTTTCATTAGCGTATCAGCCAAGAAGTTCGTCTCTACTTTACTAGTATCGCTAGTACAAATACGATTGATTCTGCTGAATTCATTACAAACGTGGATTAATAAAAGACTACGTTCTTCTAATTCAGCCTTTTTTATATCATACTTGGTCATACTGGATCGTCGGTTCCCAGCGCAAACATTTTCATCTCTCATAATATACTGATTGATTAGGCAGTTTTAAATAAAAATCTCAAAGTATTCTATGTAAACTCTCTCAACAGACACTAACAGACTGAATCGATCTAATAAAAAATAATGATGTGCAAGAACGCGTTAAATACTAACGAAGTTTCAGCATCGCCATATAGATGATTTTATTATGAACACAAGTGTAAATGCGAGGACCTTAAATATGGTGTCAGATGAATGCTTTTAAACTGTTGAAGACTAAGAATACATCGCATGTATGTATTTCATTTCAAGACTATTATTAATTTATCTTAATGCTCATTAGATAAATAAATAACGGTTCGCGAGTAGGATAAGGAAAAACAGTGACGATCGTTACAAGAATTCAACTAATGTTCACCTTCAAGTTGCAAATGAAATGTAGTAAAAGAATGATAAGAAGAATCTTACGGATGTCAATCTAAAAAGTGACATAAATTTACCGAGAGCCAGTTTAATTTTGTCATGTAAGCATTATAAAAACACTTGGAATTAACTTGGATTTACAGATTACGTAGACATTTCGAAGTAATTTCCTTAAGAAATATGAGCACTTATATCCTGATGACAAAATGAGATGAAAAATTAAGACTGACTGGAGATAATTTATAATAACAGCATTAATTGCTGATGGTTCATTTCTGCTTTTGCAATTTCTTACAAATGCTAGATTGAGCGTGTTGTTATTGTTAATGAAAAGCTGATTTCATAAGTTTTAACAACCGGTGTTAAGTTTGAGAAAACGGTAAAAATGGTACTTGGTCAATCAAAAACGACTTTATCACTCCTGATTAATGATTTGTCATATAGGCGTGGAAAGTACTAGTTTAATTTGAGTGGCATTCAGGTACGAACGTAATCAATACTTAAGTTTGGTAGTTGCAACAGGTTTAGTTAGATAATAACTTACTCAGGATCAACATCAGGAACAGGAAGGTGATTTCTTACAAAAAATAAATCAGTAGGAGTTATTGGGTTGCTACATATTGATGAAAGAGGAGTTTCCGCATTAAAAGGACGTTGCGAAACCACTTTCAAATCCGGATTTCTCTGAGGATCAGAACTATATATATCTTCATTGTCTTCTTCTTCGACAAAGTCTGATAAGAAAGAATCAGGAAGATAATTACAAAAATCACAAACGAATATCTCATGATCAGTTTAAAATATCAACGCACTGGTTTTTAAGATGTATGCGAATTTAAAATGTTTCACTTTCATAGGCTTTGAATAAAATTCGCAGATAAAAGATAAAATATTTTACACTATGAACTAGTAGGTAGTAAAAGAGGGTGTATCCTTATTTTAGCCGTTTAAGCCACTCAAGCGAAAATCAACATAATTGAACGTTAGGATTTTTCAAAAACCCTTTGAACTAAATATCGTAATAAATGTGAATACATAATAGTTATCATTATACGTAAGTTAAAAGATAATGAGAAACTGCGTAATCATAACTGACAGATACTAAAACAGCCAGAATAACATACTTTACGCTCAACTAGAAATAAAACATAAAAATATATTTATGAATAAACAAATAAATTAGCATTCTTTTCAAAGAATGCTGAAAACTTTAGATTTCGTACATTTATGAGAAAAGTAGCGATTCATTATACATAAATCAGTGTTAAAGACGAAATAGAAAACATCAGTTAAAATAATTGAATAAATACGTCTGGTCACCTTCACAGTCGATGAAAAAAATAGGCTACGAAAGAAAAGTAGTCATCACTTCATTATATGAGTATCCGGAAATTTTCTTCAGGCATGTATATTGTGTTGTACAATAAATATTTAGGATAGCATGACTCACCAAGTAACAATCACTTCCTGAACAATGCCAACCCACTTGTAATAGCTATTAAGAAATTTTATATTTCAGTATCGATTCTTGTACAGAAGACAGGAAGAGTTTCTCTCTTAATTGACTGAATAAAGTGATTTTCGAACTACAAACCAACGCTTGTGGAATGCTCATGCAACTTTTGAGTTTGTAAACATTGAATAAAGAGTCAACTAAAATAGCCATCAAATTATTGAAAAATAGGTCCCGACTGTCAAAAAACATACTACGACGTTTCAAAAGATAAATGGGTACCAAGGAAATTGTCCAAACAAACGGGTTCTGGTCATGATAAAGAACAAAACTAGATCAAACATTTCAGGTGTACGATAGCCAAGAAATAAGCCAAACATTCAGGTATTAATTCATTGTAGGGCTAAAAACCTGCAAACTTGGTTTCTTCCAATAGCCTACGATATATATAATTATCTTTTATCCGACATCTCATTTGAGAGATTAATACAATATCAGTCTCATGAGCAGTTATTATTATTTTTTTATTTTATTTTATTTTAACACATAGATATTGGTACAAGGAGGCACCCAATACATATGCGCTACACAAATCTCATTTGATATGTGTGAGGGCTGTGATACTGCCCGGGTGCCCGAACCGAAGCAGGTGGTTTTCTTAGTGAGCCACTCCCGAGCCTTCGACCGGAAGGTCTGATCCACAAGGCAGTGGAGCATCGTAGGGAGATGCAGTCCCATGGAAGCCGGTGACCGACAACTAGTTCATACGCCATTTGTTCCCGCAGGATACTGGAGCCCATGTGCACCATAGATTTGGAATCCTGTTAAAGCGCCGGACATTCGCTTTTCGTCCTCTCATTTTCGTAAACAACACCCCGCCACGAGAAGGCAGTGAGTAGGACTTCCCTGGCAGAGGCTATATACGCGTGGCCATGTGAGAGCATTTCGAGAGGGAGAGCGGACTCTCCCCACTCTCGGCCGTACCAGGGCATTTGGGGGCAGTTATTACTCGACATCATACTCCAGCGTTCACTCATCGACTGACATTCTTTTTTTTGCAGTTACTAAGTTTTTATGGAATCTGTATGGAATACTTTGACTAGTTGTGTGAATATCTCAAGGCTTTATGGATCGACAAATGAAAAATATGTAGTGCAACTGAAACTATGGTATTAACATTAATTCAGTCCCCTAAACTCTCTAAAGTGAATACATCGCCTAACCATTAGATCCATTTTTCAAATGTTCTCTAAAACTCATTAGAATGGTTTACAGCTACTTAAGGGGGTTATAGTCTAAGTTTATGTTTGCTTTGTTATTGGTCTAGCCAAAATTCTCTTAGTTATCATTCAATTTTTAAATCACTATATAAAATTACGAAAGCTAACATGAAGAGCTAGTTACTGTTGAAAATTCGATTTTGACTACGAACTCTGTGAACCATATTAACCAATTTATCAAATCTGGCAACAGTGCCGATAGACTACACAGCATAATCTCTGGACTGGTAGTAAAGTAATGTGGTTGAAACTAGTTTATGACAGGTTGTAAATATCAACTTAATGAGTTACTGGAATTCGAGAATGTCGCTTTATCGCGCAAATGAATTTGTAGTTGTGTAGCTATCGGGAGTATAAACTTAAGATAAGTAACCCTATCAAAAACAAGAAATAGTCAAGAGCCAATAGTTTAACATCCCGAATTCCAACATCGAATATGGTTTTGAATTTCAGTTTAGTGACCATCTGAAAACTAACTTATACTGCTTAATTGCTGTAGACAGTTGTCGCTAAAATATGGTGGGAATAAGCGGTCGAGACGTCAATGTATAATAAAATTGCAAGCCTAATATTCAAACTTTGGTGAGTAATTTACGTAAACTAAAGGTGAACCAACCAATGAGTTTCCATTTTTATTAGGTTCTTTGACCTTAAAACGACTAGCTGTGAGCTTTGATAACTGAGCTATACCCAAAAATTATGTCTGTTTAACATCTAATAATCACTAAAGCAAAGAAAACTCAAAATTTAAAGGTCAAGTAGTAGGTTCTTACCGATTTGTCAAGTTCTCCAATATAGTACTTCTCTAGTATTTTCAAAACATGACTCTGGTAGTGAAATGCATAAACGGACCAAAATGAAGAGACGTCAGACCCAGCGGCCAAAAGAATTTTGTCACCCCAGGATGATCGTCAACAAAACTTGTAACATCGTACACTTTACCTTTAAGAGAGACCCAAACTCCACGTTCCTTACAGTTATGCTGAGCAAGTTCCTCTAGTGTAATGATACGCGACTTCTTAGACTTTGAAATCCAAGCAATTGCAAAAATTCCACAAGAAAGTCCACCTAAAAAAACTATGAATCACTCAAAATTTTACCACATAACCACCACCTTGATATGTTACTGGACTAACGGGAATTTTTGCCAAGCTTCTCACTTTGTTGGATGTAGTATGGAACTGCACAATTTGTCATCTATAATGACAACAAACCTGATTGGGGAGTTTATGAAACGAGATAAAAATGAGATTGATACGCGACCTAAACATAGATTACTCATCAATATCGTATAAACAGATAATACGATTGTTTCTTTGCCTAAAAATATAAAAGACATGAACTAATTTGCACAATTCCTATGAATGATGTTACTCAAATAAAAACGCTTCCCTGTAATGTGTTAACTAACTCATATAAAAGGAAAATCACGATAGATGTAAAATTAAGAGAGAGGTGCTCCGAACACCTATGAGTACGCATTCGTATTTTGACCTTTATCCTTGAAAGCATACAAACATACACAATCTCCCAGTTTTGGGGAAAATTTGACCCACTTTGGGGAAGCCGCCATAGTAAACTTTGGGGAAATGGCACGAATTCCCCAATACTTCCCCAGAATCTTACTACGTTTTGTGGAAATTGGCTTATATTTATTAATAAAACCTCAAATTTTTTCACAATTTTGGGGAAATTTTGCTTTTTTCCCAAAATTTTCCCTGACTTTGGAGTTTTTCACCGAAATTTCTCCAAAGTTGGAAGCTTGAGATATTTAATTGAATTAGCTTAAGGTAAACTAAGCTAACCTTTAGCATGACATCAGTCAGGATTACTTTACCCATGAACTTACAAAGAGCACCGGATCGCAGGCTGAAATTTTACTGTTATCTTGAACAGGTTGGGAACTAAAAATTCCGTAAACAATAAATCATGAACAGCACAGAAGTGACACCAAGGTAACCTTGAAGTAACGCTTCAGTGGTATCGTCCACTGATAAAGGTTATTGAGCACTTGAAGTTCAAACTGTTGTGAAATGATTGGTGCTTCACCTCGAGATTCATAAAGTTTCGCAAAAGCGGTCAAATCAAGACAACCCTTAGATTTTATTTAACTTCAGCCATATTATGTCCGATAACATCAGTTTCAGTTTGGAAAGGACAAGAGGATTGATGGCCTGTGTTAGTCCTGGCAATGGTGGTCTCTCAGTTGATCCAACTTTCTTCTGAAAGAGTCGACGGATGAAACCTCAACCACGTTCTGAGTTCATGAATTCCACTCGTCGATGATTCGATGAGAAAGTCGTTAGTCAGCTGAGAAGTAATCTGTTATGGGCTTCTGAACTTTTTTGGAGTGTCCTCATAAATTCTCTGTTTTGGAAGACAAAAAATGAGGGCATATCAAATGAAAATTTATCACTAAGCTATTTGAAAACTGTAATCAAGTCGCCTCTAGTTCTGCGATATGACAACGGGAATAGATTTAGCTTGACCAGTCGAGCATCATACAGAAGCTTCGCTATTTCGTGAGTCGGTTTAGTTGCTGTACTCTGAGCCCTTTCCGAAAGTTCGCAGTCTTTCTTTAAGTAGGGGCTAGCCGCTTGTATGCAGTATGCAGTGGACTTGCCTATGTTAAGCTTATTTAGCAGACCAGAGACATCGAGCTCTTTAATGGTAACGCTGTCCCGTGTTTGGGTGGGGGTATTTGTATGGACTGACTGAAAGGGTGCTTCTATGGTATATACATTGCTAAAGTAGTTTGAGAATACTTGGGATTCACCAAAGTCGTCCTCCACTGATGATGAGGCAGTACTGTCTCCATATAGTGCAGGAATATTTCCTCTTCTTTTTGTCCTTTGGTTTATATAGGAACACAAGCGTTTAGGACATTCTATAGATTCCTTAACAATTTTTTCTTCGTACAACTTTCTAGACATACGGAGGGTCGAGGCACAGGTATCCCGAGCTTTTCTATACTTAGATTTTGTCTCATCAGTCCCCATTAACCTAAATCTATCCCACATTTATCTTCTCTTACGGAAGAGGATGTAAGCCTCCCTACTGAATCACAGTAAAGAGTTTCTCGGCCCCCTTGGTGTAATCCAAGCCATGTCGGGTGAAGTAGCTCTTAATTATAAATTTTGAAATGCCTCCCAAGCCGTTTCAATTGATGAATCTTGCTCTATTGTCTACTGACAGTGCTGAGTATATAATATCTTGTGTGTTTGCTCTCCAGACGTTAGGTCTGGATTGAGCTGACGTATGCTCATTCTTGACAATTATATGCAAGTCAAAGTTTAGAATTACATGATCACTTTTACCCAAGGGTAGGTGTAATCGAGGTTCGTAACGTCATCCTTATAATGAGTCAATATGATATCTAGTAAGGACGACCCAGAGTCCGGGTGGTACATAGTCACTTCTTTCACATGTTACACTAGGGCACATGTGATAACCGCATCAACTAGTTCCTGCTCGAAGGAATTATCTGACAATCCTGGTCCATTGTCAGATTCATATGAGTGATTAAGCCACTCTCACAAAATAAATGATAACCCAATTAGGACTCTTGTGACTTTTGCAAATGTGGTTTTGGAGAAAGCCTAATTACAATATTCATATAACTATTTTACAATTTCCGTGACTTTAATGTAGGCAAATTTTTAGATGGGTGAGTTCTCACGTGGTTGCGTCGTAGACGATTGACATCAAATCGCATTCCCACTAGAAAAGGTGTCACGTCTCTGAAGTGGTATTAAATCGATTATATCTTCGCTTGTTTTTCACTTAAAATGACTTATTTTCACATTTTCCATATGTTGGCTCTTGAACTTACTTCCATACGCCTGTTACTCCCAATGGAGCATAGGCCGCCGACCAGCATTCTCCAACCCACTCTGTCCTGGGCCTTCTTTTCTAGTTCCATCCAATTCTTGTTCATTTTTCTCATGTCTATCTCCATTTCCCGGCGTAATGTGTTCCTTGTTCTTCCTCTTTTCCTTTGGCCTTGAGGATTCCATGTGAGGGCTTGTCTTGTGACGCAGTTGGGTGCTTTCCTCAATGTGTGTCCTATCCACTTCCAGCGCTTCTTCCTGATTTCTTCCTCCACTGGGATCTGGTTTGTTCTCTCCCACAGTACGTTGTTGCTAATAGTGTCCGGCCAACGGATTCGAAGTATTTTGCGTAGACAACTGTTAATAAACACCTGTATTTTCTGGATGATGGCTTTCGTAGTTCTCCAGGTTTCTGCCCCATACAGTAGAACTGTCTTGACATTTGTATTGAAAATCCTGACCTTGGTGTTGGTTGACAGTTGCTTTGAGTTCCAGATGTTCCTCAGTTGTAAATATGCTGCTCTTGCTTTGCCGATCCGCGCCTTCACATCTGCATCAGATCCACCATGTTCATCAATGATGCTGCCCAAATATGTAAAGGTTTTTACATCTTCCAAATCTTCTCCGTCAATTGTGATTGGATTGGTGCATTCTGTGTTGTATCGGAGAATCCTGCTTTTCCCTTTGTGTATATTGAGACCTACTGCTGCTGAGGCTGCTGCCACACTGGTCGTCTCCTGCATTTGTTGTTGCGTTTGGGATAGAAGGGCCAGATCATCTGCGAAGTCTAGATCGTCCAACTGCATCCTAGATGTCCATTGTATCCCGTGCTTCCCTTCAGACTTTGACGTCTTCATGATCCAGTCGATCACCAGGAGAAAGAGAAAGGGTGAGAGTAAGCAACCTTGCCTGACACCGGCTTTTACTTCGAACGACTTTGTCAACTGTCCTCCATGCACGATTTTGCAGTTTAATCCATCATATGAATTCTGTATGATATTGACTATCTTCTGAGGCACGCCGTAGTGTCGAAGAAGTTTCCATAGTGTTGTTCTGTCCACGCTATCAAATGCCTTTTCGTAGTCAATGAAGTTGATGTAGAGTGATGAATTCCATTCAATTGATTGTTCCACAATGATCCGTAGAGTTGCGATTTGGTCTGTACACGATCTATCCTTACGGAATCCTGCCTGTTGGTCACGAAGTTGGGCGTCTACGCAGTCCTTCATCCTGTTTAACAATACCCTGTTGAAGACTTTTCCCGGTATTGAGAGAAGAGTGATGCCCCTGTAGTTATCACACTTGCTGAGATCGCCTTTCTTCGGTATTTTGATCAGAAGTCCTTCTTTCCAGTCTTTTGGTACTTGTTCCTCATCCCAAATCTTATTGAAGAGAATGTGGAGTATCCTTGCAGTTGCCGCTACGTCTGCTTTTAGTGCCTCTGCTGGAATGTTGTCTGGTCCTGCTGCTTTGCCACTCTTGATTTGTCTGATGGCCATGCTGATTTCTTCAATTGTTGGTGGGCCAACATTGATTGGGAGGTCCGTGGGTGCTGCTTCGATGTTGGGTGGGTTCAGTGGGGCTGGTCGATTCAAGAGTTCTTTGAAGTGTTCTACCCACCTGTTTGTTGTTCTTCAATGTTGGTGATTACCTTGCCTTCCTTGCTTTTCACTGGTCGTTCTGGTTTGCGGCGATTTCCAGAGAGTTTCTTTGTTATGTCATACAATTGTCTCATGTTTCCTTCTCTTGCAGCCTTTTCCGCCGTCGTTGCTAAATCTTCCACATATTTACGTTTGTCGGTTCTGATGCTCCTCTTCACTTGTTTGTTTACTTCTGTGTATTCAGCTTGTGCCTTGGCTTTTTCTGCTCTTGTTCGGCTGGTATTGATTGCTGCCTTCTTGTTCCCCCTTTCTTGAATCTTATCCAGTGTATCAACAGTGATCCATTCCTTGTGATGGTGCTTCTTGTGACCCAGGACCTCATGACATGTTGAAGTGATTGCCTCTTTGATCCCCTTCCAGTTGCTCTCCACAGTAGTTCCTTCTCCATTGAGTAGATCATGAAAGGCCTGGAACTTGTTGCTGAGGACTATCTTGAATTTGTTGAGTTTGTTAGTATCCTGAAGAAAGGCCGTATTGAACTTTTGTGATATTGTTCGCCCCGTTGTCCAGTGCTTCTTGAGTTTCAATTTCATCTTGGCGACCAGCAAGTGATGATCTGATGCTATATCAGCTCCTCTCTTGGTTCTCACGTCCTCCATAGTCCTCCTGAACGTTTTGTTGATGCAAATATGGTCGATTTGGTTTTGCGTAGTGTGATCCGGTGAAGTCCATGTGGTTTTGTGTATGCGTTTATGTGGGAATATGG